ATAAACATGAAAAATTGAAGGCCTCATGCCCTGGCCGGTTTTGCTCAGTGGATAGAGCATTGGCCTGAAGGTTCTGGGTTTGATTCCTGTCTAGGGCACATGCTCAGGTTGCAGGCTCAATCCCCCAGTGTGTGTGTGTGTGTGTGTGTCTTGGTGAGGGCGGGGGCATGCAGGAGGCAGCTCTCTCATCATTAGTGTTTCTATCTCTCCCTCTTCCTCTCTGAAATGAATAAAAATATATTTTAAAAAATTGAAGGCCTCTTGGTTATGCTTTGTTCAGCTTCCTCTGATTCTGAGCTGGAAGTGGAAGTAATGAGTGGAAAGGTAGAATGTAAAGGATGGCCTGGAATGACAGCAGAGTGTGTCTTAGGATGACACTTGCCATTAGGACTGAGACCTATCAGCCACCAGCACCACCAGCAACCCCCAGTGTTTGCCAGGAGGTCATGATCCTGGGAAGGCTGCTGTTTTGTGGTTAACGCACACATCCGTTATTAGGTCGAAACTAATGCACCCTATTTCCACATCTGTTTAGGTTCCTCTCGGTTCTTGCTCCAATTCTGATTGCTGCATTCTGACTCCTGGCTCATCGTCTCCTGCAGCTGGACGCACTTCCAGGCCCCGTGAGTGAGTATTGACACTTGGCTAATAAATTACGTGATGCTTTCTGACACATGGCTTCATATAGCCTTACGATCTCTTTCTTTTCTTCAAGTGTGGTAGAGCCTGGGTTCTCCTGGTTTCAAGTTAGCTTGGTCCTGTGTGGTACCCCCACTAGGGGGAGTGCAGGAGGCAGCCAATCCATGATCCTCTCTCATCATTGATGTTTCTATCTCCCCCTCCCTTCCTCTCTGAAATCAATAAAAATATATTTTTTAAAAAAAAATGAGGTGAGGGCCAGACAAGAGGATAAACATGAAAAATTGAAGGCCTCATGCCCTGGCCGGTTTTGCTCAGTGGATAGAGCATTGGCCTGAAGGTTCTGGGTTTGATTCCTGTCTAGGGCACATGCTCAGGTTGCAGGCTCAATCCCCCAGTGTGTGTGTGTGTGTGTGTGTGTGTTGGTGAGGGCGGGGGCATGCAGGAGGCAGCTCTCTCATCATTAGTGTTTCTATCTCTCCCTCTTCCTCTCTGAAATGAATAAAAATATATTTTAAAAAATTGAAGGCCTCTTGGTTATGCTTTGTTCAGCTTCCTCTGATTCTGAGCTGGAAGTGGAAGTAATGAGTGGAAAGGTAGAATGTAAAGGATGGCCTGGAATGACAGCAGAGTGTGTCTTAGGATGACACTTGCCATTAGGACTGAGACCTATCAGCCACCAGCACCACCAGCAACCCCCAGTGTTTGCCAGGAGGTCATGATCCTGGGAAGGCTGCTGTTTTGTGGTTAACGCACACATCCGTTATTAGGTCGAAACTAATGCACCCTATTTCCACATCTGTTTAGGTTCCTCTCGGTTCTTGCTCCAATTCTGATTGCTGCATTCTGACTCCTGGCTCATCGTCTCCTGCAGCTGGACGCACTTCCAGGCCCCGTGAGTGAGTATTGACACTTGGCTAATAAATTACGTGATGCTTTCTGACACATGGCTTCATATAGCCTTACGATCTCTTTCTTTTCTTCAAGTGTGGTAGAGCCTGGGTTCTCCTGGTTTCAAGTTAGCTTGGTCCTGTGTGGTGAGACCTCCCCTCCCAGGCCCTCAGCTGCAGCTGCACTTCTTTCCTCAAGGTCACTCTATACCTAAGGGCCCTGAAGGGCTAGCATTCAAAAGCTCTCTGCCGCTCCCTCCTGGAGCCCAGCAGTGCTATCTCCAACTACTTCCTGGCTCAGGACCATCCAAATTAACAACTTGATCGCTAAAATAATTCTAGAATTCATATTCTCCCAATTTGCGGTAAGAAAGAGAGAGCAAGCAAAAAGTCAAATCAAATTTAATTTTGGTCATAATGGTAGGCATTGATGTTTAGTAGGTAAAATTATTAACTTATACCCAAATCATATTTATTTTAGCTCTTTCTCGCGTGTTATTTATTTTATTTTCTCACTTGTTGTTTTAATAGATATTTATTGAGCACATTCCATGGTCTAGGAATTGTTCTAGCAACTAAGGATACAGCAGAAAATAAAAAAGAGAGAAAGTTTTGGCACTTAAGAGTTTACACTGTACATCTAATTGGGTTTCTTATAATGAGGAAGTAAATAATTAATGACTTAAAAGAGGACTACTTTATAGAGGGGAAAACTTTAAGAGTCTAATTGATATGCTAATCTATGTTCTCTCAGTTAATCACAGACAGAGTAACCATTAAACCTGGGGCAGCAACTTGAAATAAAGACATAGTGCTCCAGAAGGTATAGTCTTGCATAACAAACATCCTGGCCCCTAGTCTCCCCCCCTCCCACTCCCCCTGCAACTTTTCTTATGAACAAATTCAAACATTCATAGAAGTTGAAAGACTAGTGCAGAGAACAACCATATCCCTATCATCTAGATCAGTTGTTAACATTTTGCTATATCTGGTTAATCTGTAATTCTTTAAATGTAATATATAAATATATATTTCTTATTTGAAAATAATTTCAAGATGACAGAAAAGTTGCAAGTAAAATACAAAGAATTCTCTCATATCCCCTCTACTTAGACTCACCAATTGTTAAAATTTTGCCCCATTTGCTTTTTTATATTCTCTCTATATGTAGTTTCTCAGAACCATTTCAGAGGAAGTTGAAAATATCATATTCCTTTCCCCTATATATTTCAGTGTCTATTTGTTAAAACAGGGACATTCTTTTACATAACCACTGTACACTTATCAATTACAGGAAATTTAAAATTGATTCAATATTTTTTATCTAAACTACAATCCATATTCCAATTTTGTCAACTGATCCAATAATGCTCTTTGGGCATTTAATTTGTCTCCAGTACAGGATGCAGTCCAGCATCATATGTTGCATTTAGTTGTCATGTCTCTTTAGTTTATTTTAATCTGGAACATTTCCCCAGCCTTTCTTTGTGACATTGGCATTTTTTAGGGAAACAAAACTTTAAAAAACAAATTCCTCATTTGGAGGTTATTTGATGTCCATCTGTGTTACAGGTTGAGTTATCCTAGAAGACTCTGGGACAGAGTTTAATGATCAAATATTTATTAGATTGTGCCCTGAGGGTCTATATCTATGTGTGAAAGGAAGGTGGGTGGGTAGGGGACAACTGGGCAGGGGGAGAAATTGAGCTGCAGGGTAGGATTGACAGCCATAGCCAATTCTAAAGCTAAAATTGACCCATCAGAATTGTCTCCCATTGGGCCAAAATGGCCCGGCCTTTCTACTTCCATTTCAACAATCATTGAAGGGCATGACCTTGGACAAAGGTGGGGCACTATATGTAGTAGCAGCAGTCCCATGAGAGCTGCTAGCTGGAGGCTGCTCTTGACTGCTCTCCCAGGGCCTAAGGCAATAAGTTTTTCCTTGAAGGAGGAAATATATTACTATTCCCCACATTTCATGATAAAAATCAGGTTATACATTCCCAGCTTGACAACTATGATATGTATATTTTTTCTGAATCTTTTGAAAGCAAGTTGTAGACCCAGCCCTAAAAACTTCAGCATGCACTTTCCAAAAAAGAATGTTCTACAAAACAGTATCATTAACACTTCTAAGAAAATACTTAAAAAAAATTTGTTTATTGATTTTTGAGAGAGGGAGGGAGAGAGAGAGAAGGAAAGAGAGAGAGAGAGAGAGGGAGAAACAGAGAGAGAGGAAGGGAGAAACACCAATTTTCTTGTCCCACTCATTGCTTTCTTGTATGTACAGCCAGAGATCAGACTCTTAACTGAGCTACCTAGCCAGAGCTGAAAAATACATTTTTTCTTAGAGAGAGAGAAACATTGATGTGAGAGAGAAACTTATCGATCAGTTGCCTCCTGTATGCTCTCTCACTGTGACTGAACCTGCAACGTCGGTATGTGCCCTGACCAGGAATCAAACCTGCAACCTTTTGGTGTAGGGGAGAGCACTCCAACCAACAGAACCACCTGGCCAGGGCTGAAAAATATGTTCTTAACTATATCCAACTCATCAAATTTCCTCAATTATTCTCAAAATATCTTTCATAACTTTTAAAAATTAGTGTCTAATCAGTGGTTACCTATTACATTTCGTTTTTGTATCTTTTCTCTTTTAATCCAGAATAACCCCTCTATTTGTTTTTCTGTGACAAAGATTTTCTAAAGAGACCAGGCCTTATGTCTTGAAGACCCTTCCTACTTTTCCAAGTGTTTTCCAAATTGGAAAGTCATACGATGATGTCATAAGAACTGAGAAAAATACCATTTGCCTTTTCTTAGATGATGTTAAGTACTTAATGAAGATAAACCAATTTTAAAAGATGTAGGCTATGTTTGCTAGAGTACTAATTGAAGTCCTGCTTTTATATTCATTATTTTTTTATATTCATTATTAATGAAATAGAATCATTAGAGAAGTAAGGATATAAAATGATTTATTATAACAATTTATTGCATAAAATTGAGTTAACTCAGTGTGTGTGTGTGTGTGTGTGTGTGTGAGTGTGTGTGT